AGACGGAACCTCCGGATTCCCAAGGGTTACCGGATGATTCCTCCGTGTTCCTGTTAGATTCGTAAATGTTCTTAGTGGGTTTCTGTTTATTTTCTGCAGACTCTTGGCAAGATTCCTGAAGGATTCCTACATGGGTTCCTGATGGATTCCTGTGGGTTCCTGGTGGCTCTTGAACGATCCCTGAGGAGTCCTGAGGATTCTAGAGGAGTCTTCAGGGTTTCTAAGGCTTCTGGGGGTTTCTGGGGATTGCTGAGAATTCCTGGGGATCCCAAGGGATTCCTCAGGTTCCTCGGCGAATTCCTGAAGGATCCCTGCATCATTCTTTTACGATTCCCGAAGGATTCTCCCAAAGGGTTCCTGAGGATCCGGATCCGGCAGGATTCATTCGGAATTTCTGAGGATTCGTCAAAAAGGTTCTTGTGGATGTCTGGAAGTAACCCCAGGAAGCATTTAAGAACCCCCCCCCCCCCTTCCGGCAAATCGATAACCCTTCCGCACCCTGGAAGCGTTACCTGGCACCAGGAGCCCTCCTCCTCCTCCTCCTCATCCTCCTCGTGAACCCGTAGGAATCCTTGAGAATCCTGCGGAACTTGTATGAAACCTGATGGATCCATTCAAGTCGTTAGGGGTCATCAAATATGCTTGCGAAGATTAATGCTATTATCACTGCATGAATTTTCCAAGCAGCGAGCGACATCCTGAGTCTTTCATGAGAGCCACGCAGATTTGAATTGCGAATTTCGATTGTAGCCCAGGGGCCAGGCCTCCGCGAATTTGTTGTGTGTCCGGGTGCTAAACCTATCGTGCGGTTATTTCGGCCCCTCGGAATATCGAATAAAAATGCGGTGCTAAGATATCGCCGGGGGGGTTTTTAAATGCTTCCTGGGGTTATTCAAACGAATTTTGGGAGATCTCTTCGGTATTCCTTAGGGGTCCTTCGGGATTCTCGCAGATTCCTGACGGATTTGAGGGCTCCTGGGGATTTTAGGATTCGGGACGATTCTTTGAGGAATCTAGCGGGTCCCCAAGGACCTGGAAGGATTCATGCGGGGATTCCCCAAGGCTCCTAAAAGATTCGTTCAGGATTCCTGGAGGATTCGTGAGGGGTCCTGAGGATTTCGTATAGTCTTCCTGAAGGGTTCCAGGAAGAGGTCTTACCACATTTTCTGCACGCGTGATCTTTCAAGGATTTCTCATCAAGGCGACTTCCCGTGAGTAAGCTAACAGTTGATTTACGCCCGACCCCTTACTAAGGATTCCTTGCCGACATATTGCGTAAAGTTTTTTTTTGCCAAAAAAGTCCAACTCAAGGTTCCTATTAGAAAAAAACAGTCCTTAGTACAAGTGCTTCAATAAGAATTCCAGAGAAAGGATCCTTCAGTGAGGGACCTTTGTGGTAGACGCTCTGTCGTGTGGACCCCTTCAGAATAAGGATCCCTCACAACGTTTTCCTTGCCAAGGTGTCCGTACCAAGGAATATTCACCAAGGGTTGCCCATCAAGGAATCTTCATCATGCGTGCTTTAGTACGGATTTCTTCCTCAGGATTCTTTCGGCCGGATTCTTGGCACGTTTTTTCAGTCCATCCTAAGCATGGTTGGCCAAGTTCTTTTATGTAACGATTTAGTGATAAGGACCACGTGCGAAGGCGTCATGAAACATCAAGGATGATGTGATACGGACTCTCCAGTAAGGGTGCTTTAATGAGGGATCTCCGGTGCGGATTCCGTAGCAAGGGTGTTGTAGTACGGATTCGTTGGGAGGGGTTCCGCACATGGGATTCCTTGCGACGGATGCCTTAGTGCGGGTTCTTTAGTACGGATTTCCTGATCTGGATTCCAGAGTAAGGATTGCTAAAGTAGAATTCATCAGCACGGTTTCCTGACTAAGGAATCCTGTAGAAGAATTCCTTAGTCGGGCTCCTTCTCGAGGATTCCGCACTTCGGACTCCTCCGTTGTCGGGTCCGCCGCCATGTTGGCGTCGCCGCCGTGTCGCTGCCTCGTCGTCGCCCGACGTCTGGGCTCCGTTGCTGGGTCCGGCGCCTTGTTGCCGCCGTCACCGCCCCGTCGCCTCCCCTGTCGCCGCCTCGTCGCATTGCTGCGCATTGCTTTACAATGATTTGCTTTGCGTTGCTTGCTTTGCATTGCTTTGCGTTGCTTTGCTTTGACTTGCATTACTCTGTCTTTTCAGCATTGCTTGATTTGCAGTGTTTTTTTCATTCATTGTTTGCATTGTGTTGCATTGTTTTACATTGGTTCGCATTGCTTCGTATTGCTGTGCATTGCTTTGAACTGCGCCCCGTTGCTTCGCATTACTTTACATGGCTGTTCATTGCGTTGCTTTGCTTTGCATTGCATTGCATTGCGTTGCTTTGAATTGCTCGTCATTGCCTTGCATGGAGTGACATGGTGCATGGTCTTGCATATCTCTTTATTGCTCTACGCTGCTGTGCTGTGCGTGGCTGTGCATCGCTTTGCATCGCTATTTTGATTTGCACCTCTTTGCATTGTTTTGCATTGCTTTGCATTGCTTCGTTTTGGCGTGCGTTGCAGTGCTTTGTTTGGATTTGCTTTCCTTGTCATTGCTTTGCACTGCTATGCATTGCCTTGCTTTGCGCTGCTTTGCGTCTCTTAGCACCCCATACATTTCACCACATGGATTGCAACACCTGGATTGCACAGCATGTCTTGCACCACTTTGATTGCACCAGCACGTACATTTCAAGAAATCAGTGATTGGGGTCCACGCTGGCTGACCTAATGTTTGTTTTTCAGCCACCTGGAGCGTCCTCATCGCCACGGCTGGATCCGCCTCGAACGAAGACCTGGTCCAAACGAACTGCGGAGAATGTCTGGGGGTCGATGCCCGACCCTCCGGGCCCCCTCGCAACTTGTAGGAGACAGAGAGCGAGAAAGAGAGAGAGGCGGAGAGAGAGAGAGTGAGAGAGAAGGAGTCAAATTAAGAGCGAGAGAGAGAGAGAGAGAGAGAGACAGCAAGACAGACAGAGATGGGGCAGCGAACGTTGGCATTGTTTTGCAAGTGTTGGCTTCTCAGGGACCCTCACCGGGCCCCTGGAGCCGGAGGAAGTATCTTCGGACCAAGCCGGTCTCGTGGCAGGCGGCCTCGGGACCGCGCGCTTCTCAGATCTAGCATTAAGTCGGGCACGTCCCTCGACAGGAGGAATATTCAAACGTAGGCGGAAAATAGTCGGGGGAGGATGTTTTGACTATGCTTGACCATCTTGGAGTTTTTTTGTGACTGCTTCCTATGTCTCGTCCCAAACCCGCCCGTAGGGGGACACGACCGACCGAAATCTTGCTGTCGTGCCGCGCGGATCGGCGCCGAGGGAGCTGAGGCTCGGGGCGGGAGCGTCCTCGTCGCCGCGGCTGGACCTCTGCCGGGTTTCCCCTTGAAGAAGAAAACTCCTGGGCCGAGCCGCACCCCGGGACCGGGCGGGAGGAGGAGGGAGGAGGAGGAGGAGGAGGAGGAGGAGGAGGAGGCGGAGGCGGAGGCGGAGGCGGAGAGGAGAAGGAGGAGGAGGCGGAGGCGGAGGCGGAGGCGGTAGGCGGAGGCGGAGCGGAGGCGGAGGCGGAGGCGGAGGCGGAGGCAGAGGCGGAGGCGGAGGAGGAGGAGGGGAGGAGGAGGGATGAGGACAAGGAGGAGGAGGAGGGATGAGGAGGAGGAGGAGGAGGAGGAGGATGAGGAGGAGGAGCAGGCAGGAGAGCAGGAGGAGGAGGAGGAGGAGGAGGAGGAGGAGGAGGAGGAGGAGGAGGAGGAGGAGGGAGGAGGAGGAGGAGGAGGAGAGGAGGAGGAGGGGGAGGAGGAGGAGGAGGAGGAGGAGGAGGAGGGGAGGGGGAGGGGGGGGGGAGGAGGAGGAGGAGGAGGAGGAGGAGGAGGAGGAGGAGGAGGAGGAGGAAGGAGGAGGAGGAGGAGGAGGAGGAGGAGGAGGAGGAGGAGGAGGAGGAGGAGGAGGAGGGGCTCCTGGAGACGGGGCTCCTGGAAGCTCTTCGCCAGTTTTTCCGGGAGGGCGGGGTCCTGGAGCAAGGGGTCCGGGAACCGACGGGGGTCCTGGGGTCCTGGAGAAAGGGGTCCTGGAGAAGGGGGCCCCGGAGAAAGGGGTATCGTGCTAAGAGGAATGGAAGAATGAGTAAGCGGCGTCGAAGAACAAAGTGCAGCATAACCATTCACTTTGAGCGCTCCGCGCGGAGCTCTCGGATCGGCGCTCGCGCGGAGTCGAAGAACAAAGAGCAGCATAACCATTCACTTTGAGCGCTCCGCGCTCCGCTGGGCCCTAGGCTCCGCGCGGAGTTCACGTTGAGCGCTCCGCGCGGAGCGCGCCAGGGGCGGCGCCGGAGGCGCCGCTCAAGGGCCCAGCGCAGATCCAGGAAATCCGCGCGGAGCTCCAATAAGTCTATGTGTACGCTGTTTTTGCGTCCTCAATGGAAGTCCTTCGCCGTTTTTAGTGTCCACGTGGCCATCCCCGGCTCCCGGTGTGAAAAGCTGGTCCCGGGGAGTGAATGCAGACATTCCGAGATCCACGTTGCGAACAGCGAGGCCGTCCAGGTTTTGGCTATAGGCTGCGGCAGGTTCGTGCCTCGTTCATCAACATGAAGAAGGACCTTTTCAGTGGATGTTTTCGCTCTGACTCTGGTCCGGGGACCCTCGCGGATTTATCTTGCTCGAGAAACGCCGCAAGCAGACGGAATATAAAGGCTCTAGTCGAGGTTGCCCTCGATGTTCGAATTTTGATTGCGACGACAGATCTCAGCAACGGGGTACTGGAAGGTTCCTCAGTTCTCGGTGTCGCCGGGGAAGCGGCGATGCGGCTTCCAATCCCCCCCAAGAGAGCACGGCCACACCGCGGCGCAGCAAGCTCACCCAGCGCGCGCCGTGCGCATGCTCCCTCCGTGTGTGCGTAGCCGTTTTGGCTCAACGATTTTTGGCCGTCTCCGTGCCCAGCGCGCTCGTGTCGGCTCGCGGGTCAGGACTGCACACGCACCATGCCCGCGAAGCGCAAGATCGAGGATGTCGACGTGAGCGGCAAGCGCGTCTTCATGCGCGTCGACTTCAACGTGCCCCAGGACAAGGCGGACCCGACGAAGATCACCAACACTCAGCGCATCGACGGCGCGCTCCCCACGATCAAGTACGCCCTCGAGAAGGGGGCGAAGTCGGTCGTCCTTGCCTCGCACTTGGGGCGCCCCGACGGCTGCGTGGTGGAGAAGTTCTCGCTGGCGCCGGTGGCGAAGATCCTGGGGGAGAAGCTCGGCAAGCCGGTCACGTTCCTGAAGGACTGCTGCGGCTCAGAGGTCGAGGCGGCGTGCGCCGAGCCGGCGAGCGGGTCCGTGATCCTGCTGGAGAACCTGCGCTTCCACGTCGAGGAGGAGGGCAAGGGCGTCGACGCCGAGGGCAACAAGGTCAAGGCCGACAAGGGCAAGGTGGCAGAGTTCCGCGCCTCCATCCGCAAGCTGGCGGACATCTACTGCAACGATGCCTTCGGGACCGCGCACAGGGCCCACAGCTCCATGGTCGGGGAGGGGTACGACGTCAAGTGCTCCGGGTTCCTGATGGCCAAGGAGCTGGACGCCTTTGCCAAGGTGCTGGACACCCCGTCCAAGCCGGTCTTGGCCATCCTGGGCGGCGCCAAGGTGTCGGACAAGATCCAGCTCATCATGAACATGCTCGACAAGGTCGACAAGCTCATCGTCGGCGGCGGCATGGCCTACACCTTCCTGAAGGTGAACGACGGCATGGCCATCGGCACCTCCCTCTACGACGAGGATGGCGCCAAGATCGTGCCTGAGATCATGGAGAAGGCCAAGAAGCTGGGCGTGGAGATCGTGCTGCCGGTGGACTTCGTGATCTCCTCGAAGTTCGGCGAGGACGGCGAGATCAAGGCGGCCACGAAGGAGGACGGCATCCCAGACGGCTTCATGGGCCTGGACTGCGGCCCCAAGTCCATCGAGATGAACGCGGCGGCAGTGGCCGCGTCCAAGACCATCCTGTGGAACGGGCCGATGGGCGTGTTCGAGATGTCCAAGTTCGAGGCTGGCACGAAGAAGCTCATGGACGCCGTTGTCCAGGCCACCGCGGCTGGCGTCATCACCGTCATCGGGGGCGGCGACACGGCCACGGCGTGCAAGAAGTACGACACCGAGGACAAGGTGACCCACTGCAGCACCGGAGGAGGCGCGAGCCTGGAGCTCCTGGAGGGCAAGGTCTTGCCAGGCGTCGACGCCCTGAACAGCGCTTAAGAGGCTGGCGCGTGCGAGCGCGCCCGTGACAATTCGCAAGCCCGTCGCGCACCAGGTGCTCGTGGAGCGATGCACGGGGCACGCGACTGGAGGGTACGGCGAGCTGGACCAGATCGAGATCGGTGAGCTCCCCCCGCTCGGAGGCGGGACACTCAGCGTGTCGTTCCAGAGAGGCTGGCGCGCAGCAAGCAGCGCGCGTTTCGCGCCCGTCGTGCCGCGTGGTTCCAATTTTCCGTCACTCCGTGGGTTGTCGTGTCCAGCAGGTGGCCTGCCGTCAGCGACGGCAAGGGCGCTGCTGGTCGATGCCGATGGCCTGATTGGCTGAAGGTCTGCCTTCGAGACAATTTTGCGGCCTGCCGGGGCCACAGAAAATACTGCGTTGGGATCCCAATCAGTTTCGCACGGTTCGTGTTTCCGTGAGGAGTTGCACCGTAGGCACGCTACAATGTTTCTTGAATCCGCAGAGCGGGAGTCACGGCGGGCCCCCAGGGGGAAGTAATCAAGGATATTGCCTCGGCGAGTGTCGGTATCAATCGCTGCCATGTTTCTTGGGACCATGTTGGCGTCCCGTGGGGATCGGACGGCCTGCTGGGTGTCCATGGGGAGATCACTCGTGTTTTACGTGTCCCAGGGGCCTGAGACAGCACATCATTTGTGTATTCACATGTCCCAGTAGAGTGTGGGGCAGGACATGCATGAGGGGTGTCCCTCGATTCGCATGCCACTACTATACTCTCGTGTCCCAGGAGAGCATGGGGCAGGAGGGGCGTGATGGGGTGTGCCGAGCCGAGGCTTTCGTGGCCCCGGGAGCGCTGTCCAGGAGGAAGAGGTGGAGGAGGAGGGAGAAGAAGGAGGAGGAGGAGGAGGAGGAGGAGGGAGGAGGGAGGAGGAGGAGGGGAGGAGGAGTGAGAGAGGAGACGGAGGAGGAGGAGGAGGAGGAGGAGAGAGGAGGAGGAGAAGATGGAGGAGGAGGAGGAGGAGGAGGAGGGAGGAGGAGGAGGAGGAGTTGCTACGGCGCGAGGAGGAGGAGGAGGAGGAGGAGCCCCTTGCAGCCTGCGAGGGGAGGTGCGGCTGCCCTGCGGTTGCCCTCTTTCGGGTCCCTGGCTGCCCTGCGGCTGCCCTCGTCGGGCCGGCGGAGAGCGTGAAGCCGCTCTCGGCGCCCTATGCATGCTCCATCTCTTCCTCCTCCTCGTCCTCTTCCTCCTCCTCCTCCTCATCCTCCTCCTGTCGTCTCCTCGTGGCCACTCACTCTGCATGCTCCATCTCCTCCTCCTCTTCCTCCTCCTCCTCCTCTTCCTCCTCCTCCTCATCCTCATCCTGTCGTCTCCTCGTGGCCGCTCCCTGTGCATGCTCTCTTCCATCACGTTCTCCCTGCGGTCGTCTATCTCCGAGCCCTCACGCGGCCAGGGCCCGCAGGGGGCCCTCGCCGAATTTCGTCGGCTCGCTCACAGGATGGCCTTCGGCTCATCCCGCCACCGTGTCTGGGTGGTGGTTCTGAAGCCTCCTGGATGTTCGTCGGGATCTCGTCGAGGCCTCTCGGGGGCCTCCTGGCGGCCGGTTTGAGGCTTCTGGTTGTCTGTTTGGGGGCCCCTTTTGGGGCACCGCACTTTCACGTTACAGGCTTGTTGGGGTGTTTCGGGAGGCCGTGTGGCTGCATTTCCAGGCCTCTCGGGGGCCTCTTCTTGGGGCCTCTTGGGGGTGTCACGGCGGCCTCTTCGGGCCTCTTGGGGGTCGCTTGGGGGCTTGCCGGCGGTCTCGTGGGCCACGTCCAGGGGAAGGGCTCCAAATGGCAGTTCGGATTCCCCTCTTGGGGGCCTCTGGATGCCGCATGGGGGGCTCTTGGGCCGTATTGGGGGCCCCTCGGACCATCCTTTGGGCCTGGAAGCTTTTCGGGCTGTCCTTGGGCCATATTGGGGGCCTCCTGGGCCATCTTAGTGGGGTTGGAAGCATGAAAGGCGATAGCGCGAAAATCATTCAAAAGCATACGGATAATCAATTACACCAGAGGAAGCCCGAACCAGTGGATTTTAGACTTTCCGCAGGTGCATCAATCGGCCTTCCTCCCGCCCTAGTCGGATTCAAATCTACGTGTGGGACCAGTCTAATTATTATGTGTTCCTCTCTCTCTCTCTCTTTATGTGTTTTATTATCTCTCTCTCTCTCTAGCTTTCTCTCTCTCTCTCTCTCGCTCTCCCTCTCTCTATAGTTGTGGATTCCTCCCTGTACTTTCCAGTGCGCAGATATACAAACATAATTCTTCACGCTTCGCGTAACCCCACCAGCCCATCTCAAAACAGTAACTCTAGCGAAGCATGCCGACAGTCGTGTTTTTCAGGCGTGTTTCCGCCTGCCCCCGCATATCTCCCTTGTTCCTCCTTCCTCCCGCCTCCTTGTACATCCTCCTTGTGGTGGGAGCGGGAGAAGGACGAGGCGGAGGAGGAGGGAGAGAAAGCGCTCCTCGTGGTTTGAGTCGTTTGGGGTTCTCGTCCTGGTGTGAGTCGTTCGGGCCCTTCTTCCTGGTGTGAGTCGTTCGGGCTCTTCGTGGTGTGAGTCGTTCGGGCTCTTCGTCCTGGTGTGAGTCGTTCGGGCTTCTCGTGGTGTGAGTTGTTCGGGCCCCTCGTCCTGGTGTGAGTCGTTCGGGCCCCTCCTCCTGCCCGTCCAGAAACGACGCCCAGGCGAGTAGAGGGTCGTCCTGATGGGCTTTTCGGCGTCTTGGGTGCCTCGGGGGGGCCTCTTTGGGCCGTTTGGGATCCTCTTGGGGGCCTCCTGGGGGCCTCTTGGGGCCATCTTGGGGCCTCTTGGTGCCTCCTGGGCGCTTCTTGGGGCCATCTTGGAGGAAATCGATCAAAGAAGAGGGGAGCTTTAATGAGCGCTGCCCCCTCAGAAGGCCAAAATGGGGCCAACACCGTAGTAAAATCAATGATTTTGGCTTGAAAGAAGAGGGGAGCTTTAATGAGCGCTGCCCCCTCAGAAGGCCAAAATGGGGCCAAAACCGTAGTAAAATCAATGATTCTGGCTTGAAAGAAGAGGTGAGCATTTTTTCCCCCTCCCCCCGTCGGGGCCAGAGTTCTCGTGAGGGGTGTCGTTTTTTAGCCCTCCCAGGAGTCGAAAAGGACCCCTCTGACCACCCGCGGAAGGACCTCTCCAGGTCCAGGGGGAGGGGGTAGGGGGAGGGGTAAACCCCTCCCCGAAGGGGAAGAAGGAGGGTTGAGAACAGAGAGAGCTCCCTAAACCACTCACGCCCAAAGGGCTGGTGGGATTATACACCGATATCTCTATCTATATATACACAGGCATACGTACCTACACACACTGTCTCTTGATAACTTCCTCTCTCTCTCTACTCCGCCTTTTTTTCATTCTGTATGTACCATAGTTGTTTGGTTCTCTCTCTCTCTCTCGTTCTCTCTTTCTCTCTTTCTCTCTTTCTCTCTCTCTCTCTCTCTCTCCTTCTCTCTTTACATAGAGACCCCTCACGGGGATATTGGTTTCGTATTCACGTTCGTGTCGCCCTTGCGGGCGAGGCGAAGCTGCGTGGGCGGGCGAGAGGGATGAACTCGCCGTTTCCAGGGCGAAGCCGAACCAAACGTTGCTGTCCTCCGGGTTGGCCAGCAGTGGCCCTGTGGTGTTCCGATGGTGTCCCGTTGGTATCCAGAACATGTCCCGATGGTGTCCCGTGGTGTGCCGTGGTGCCCCGTGGCGCGCGGATGTCCCGTGCTACGTTATGTGCTATGCAATGTCATGCTAGCGATAGTGAGATGCATAGTGCGACCGATACTGAGATCCACTGAATGAGATCGATCGTGAGATCGATAGTGCAATCGATAATTAGATTGGTAGTGAGGTCGATTGAGTGACCTCGATAGTGATATCGATACCAGAATCGATAGTGAGATATATTGTGAGATGGACAGTGATATCGGTTGAGTGGGATCGATAGCGAAATCGGTCGAGAGCTCGATCGTGTGTTTGTTAGTGGTATTGATGGTGATATCGATTCAGTTAGATCGATCGTGAGATCGATAGGGAGATTAATAGCAAGATCGACAGTGAGAGCGATAGTGACACCGATGATGACATCGATAGTGATACCTATAGTGAGAACGATCGTGAGATCGATCGTGAGATCGTTCGTGAGATCGATCGTGAGATCGTTCGTGAGATCGATCGTGTGATCGATAGTGAGGTAGATGGTGGTATGAATAGTGTAAACGACAGTGAGATCGATAGTGGGATCGATAGTGATATCGAGAGTGAGATCGGTAGTGAGATCGATAGTGATATCGATTGAATGGGATGGATGGTTAGATCGATAATAACATCGATAGTGAGATCGACCGCCAACCCGCCAACCCGGGACCCCAAAATTAAAGAAACCCTGGGAACCCCGCCGCCCACCGAACCCCGCCGCACACCGAACGACATCGCCCCGTTTTTTTCGCCAATGTTTTTTAAATGTCCGCTAGGACCCCTGAAGTGCAAGCACGGATTGGGTAATGAGTTTTGCACCTTGGGGCCTTCTTGGGGCTTTTTCTGGGGACTCTCGAGGCGTTTCTCGGAGGCGTCCCGGGCCATCCAGCGATTCTTTTCGGCGTCGTTGAGCGCTCCTGGGCTCTCCTGGATCTCCTCTGCGGCGCTCCTGGGGCTTTTTGTGGTTG